CTCAGAAAGCTGGAAGGAGAGGCACAAATACAGTTGGAGAGGCACAAATACAAGATATACTAACAGGTATTATAGATTTCATACTGCAGTAACTGAGATGGGTATTGCTGCTGGCCATCCCTAAGGACCATCTCAAGACCATATCAGAGCTTGCTCTTCCACCAATGGCTTTCAGTTTTGGAATGCTCTCTGCCTTCTTAGAACCAGATTTTCAAGAGAACTCAGCACATGGGGTACTGTGGTTCTCTGAAAATCTAGTCCCATTAACATCTGATAACCCAGATCTTGTTACCCAAGCTATAGCAGCTTTTTGGAAGGTATTTTTTTCCATATAAAGAGCAGAGAGTGAAGGGAGGGCTGCTAGGTGGCAGTTGTGTGTAGTTGTTCAGTCCCACTTGGATGTTACATGTGTTCTTAATGAGAGTCTCTCTCAGTCATTTGTTGCTACATTGGCTGACAAATGATGAAGTTTTACAGTGAGCATTGTTGTGTTGTGCAGGCATTGTGTTGAATCTGGACTATCGAAGAATATTTCTTCAAGTTAGAAGTGCCACATATCTACCCTGTCTTAATGACTTGTCCAAAACATTGTCTAAATTCTGCCTTCATCTCCATGGAGTTTCGGCAGCTGTGATCAAGTGAGGAGCAAAAGCTGTTAGATGCCTAAAGAAGGTTGATCTTGGTGCAGTTTTTAAGGCCTGTTTCTTCCTAAAGTTCTGAACTTCACGGTTAGTTTATTATTGTTATTTGTTAGAAATGTTTGAAATACAGGAAATATTCCACAAAACTATAAATCAGAATTTTGAATAAATGTTTTCAACCACTTCTCCAGCTGCTTGGATAATAAGGATGGATATTTTGCAATTTTTTGCAAAAAAAATTCTTGTTTTTTTCATCCAAAGACCTACATTCAGAAAAAATTGACCAAGTTGTTTGCTTTGGACATTTTAATTGTAGCTGAAGAAAGGCCAGGCCATATTAATCTTAGCTGAAGAAAAACTTAGATGAGAATGAGAGCCCCATTTTGGACTCAAAAGGACCTAGAAGTTTTGAAGAATGTTTAGGTTTTTGGATACTTCTTCCAGCAGAATTCAAATTGCAAGGGCCAGATTGTCATATAAAAGCACATGTAAAACTCCAAGGTCATTTATGCATTTCTTTTATTAATGCATTTAAAAAAAAAGACTGTGGGCACATCTATTTGAGACACTTTACTGTGCATTAGACTAATCTAATACCCAGTAAAGTATCACCATCTACACATGTGTGGGACTTACTGCACATTAAATTAGTCTAATGTTCTGTTTGCCAATACCAACACATACAGGTAATAAATAAATGGTGCATTGGTTAATGCACCATAGTGCATGTGTAGACACTGGCCACGTCTACAGGAGTGGTGGACTGCGCAGTTGTTACTGCACAGTCATTTAGTCCTTGCTAAATGTGCAGTAACCGGTGTTACTGAACAGTACCATCACTGCATGTTTTTTTCCGCGATGCTACTATGCAGTAGCAGCAAGCTCATTACTACTGCACAGTATCATTGCTACACAGTTAGTGCCCAACAATTCTACTGCATGGTAGCAATGAGCTACTATGCAGTAGCTCACTGCTACTGCGCCATAGCAACTCATGTAGACATGCCCACTAACAATTTGCTCCTGGTCAGCTCAGGCAGCAGGAAACCCACTGCTGGCTGGCTAAGCCCTGATGCGGGAGCAGTTGTCCTGATCCTGATCCCTACATGGTCAGGAGAGCTGTGCCAGCTACAGGAGCAAGACAGATTCCCCTGCAGCCAACACAGCTCTCCCCACCTGGTGGAGATTGGGACCAGCCCCTCTGCCCCCTGTCAATGCTGCAGCTGGCACCCAGAGAAGCCTAGAACTCCCCCTGGCTGCTGCAGAGGGGTAAAGCAGGGCAGGAACAGCCCTGGATTGAGCTGCTCCTGTCAGGCACAATTTACTTCTGGCAGGGGTGCACATGTAGATATGCATTTGGGAGCACATTAATGAGCCTGAATTTTCTGACCAGAAAATTCAGGCACATTAACTGCACGTGTAGATGCCCCCTGTGGGTACAATCACAACAGTTATGTCCCAGTGCTAGAAGTATGTGCCTTTCTGAATGCCTGGCCTTGAAAGTTTTGTACCCAGCCAGGAAGAAACTGCAGCAGTGAAATGATTCATTAGGGTCTGTTCATAGGGAGCATAGGTCTGAACATACAAGGTTCAATGCTTAACCATTCCCATGGAGAAGCTTAAGAGTGAAGTTCACTAACCTCAGGAATCAGATCTGCCAGGTTCAATGTCATTAGCTGGTTCTAATGAAGGAAAGACAGTGTCAGTCAGCTGGATGCATCTGTTTCCATTCTAGAATGTTTACAAACATTGTGTTCATGAAAATAACTTTCCCTCCTCAGCCCCATTCTTTAATTATCAGAAAGGAGGAAAGGATGTACTGGGTCACTGTACTCGTCTGCAGCAAGTACAAGTTCTACATGACACAGGCCCTTGGCCATCCCATCAAGGAACTCTGAAGGATTTGCAGCCTCTCCTCATTGGGCAGGATGGCCCATACTGCACCTCTGCCTCTTCCCAGCAGGCCCCTAAAAGATAAATTGTGGGCTCACAGCTATGTGTTTGAGAAGCAAGCAGGGTTCAGGTTACAACTAGGCAGGAAAAATTTAGTCCCAATTCAAACATGTTCTCCATATGTTCTTTCAACTTATGGGCAGTCCCCAGAGATGGCAAGTTTTTATTATACAGCCCCTTGATGGCAATAGGATCACAGGAAAAAATGATTTGCAGTCAAATGCTACCCCATGGCACACCATGACTTTTAAGCACACCATGCAAAGCATTATGCTGTTCCTTAGGCATGAACTGCATATGCATTAAGATCAGGCAAGCCCATGGGTGTCTGTGCCTGCCCTCTATAGAAGCACAGTCATTTTTTGATAGTCATACATGTGATGTTACCACCATCTTACCCCTCCTTGGTTTGTGACATTGACACTGGCAGCACCAGTCAGAACAGCTATACCATTGCTGATGAAGTCCTTGCTCACGGCTAGCTGGAAGTTGGCACTGAGCAGTGGAGTGACACTGAAGGGCACAGAGC